CAAGCCAGGTTCGTGTTGGGAATGCCGGCGAAAAGTTCAATCTTTTGTCTAGAGAGTGGACTCCGATAAGACAGTCCAAAATTGAAGCCTTATTCGATTCAATGCCAAGAAGATGCAAAGCAATAGTCGATTCCCTTGGGTATCCAACGAAGTATTGATATTTTGTTCGTAAATTCGTGTTACCATGATCAGTTTCCCCTATTACTGTGAAGTTTCCAAACTTTTGACGCGCCCTTTTCACAATAAATCGCGCCTATGCGAAATTGAGACAGTTACGTAATTCGGTGCCCGCGCTATATAGGAATACAGAGAGTTTCCAAACTTTTGACCGCGACTGTATATACACATACACATATATACACATACACATACGCATATAACACATACACACAAATCAAATGGCAAACTCAGCGCGTTATATATAGTGGCGTTACTGGTGGTTAGATCGGTTCCGCTGCGCTACATCTGTTACATCGAAATTTAGAAGGAAGTGATTCTTTTGATTTCGCAATCCATGGAAACTTTGATGCGTCGTAACACAGTCAACTAGGAAGGAATAGATAAAATTTTTTTTCTTATACAATGTCATGCCATGGACTATCACTCCAATTACTAGTCTAAAACTAGATAACACAAAACTATTACCAAAGAGAGTAGGCTGCGCCTTGTATACGACGAGACTAGGTTGACTAATAATGAAAATGTCAATGATAAGGACTGATTAGGGTCTGCATTGTATAAGAAGAACAAATTTGATCTATCCTTCCTAGCTGATTGTGTTACTACGCATCAAGGTCGATAGAAAAAGAATCACTTCCCTCTAAATTCCGATGTAACAGATGCAGCGCAGCGGAACTGATCTGTCCACCCAGTAACGCTACTATATAACACACTAAGTTTGTCAGTTGATTTGTGTGTATGTGTAAATGTTTATGTATGTATCCTTCTTTATATAATTCGCTAATCTGTGTTTGTGTGTTCGTTTGTGTCTGTGTCCAACCGGAAATTCATAACTCTTTCCTCGTGGACCAAGAGTGTTCAAACTTGGTAGGAGTACGGGGGCAGGATAGGAACACTTATGGTGGGTGGCAGGAACGGACTACGTTCAAAGGTGGCGAGGCGTGCTGGACCGGATTCCGTTCACAGGGGCGCAATAGAAATTTTGGGCCGCAAATTTATAACTCCTGTTCACTTAGACCCATAGCGTTCAAACTTGGTAGGAGTACGGGTGGCAGGATGGGAACACTTATGGTTGATGGTTTGACCGGACCTCGCCCATAGAAGGCGAGGTTTGCGCCAAAATTTTCAGTTTGGTTTTAGAGCGTTCAAACAAGGTAGGAGCAGGCGGCAGTATGGGAACACTTATGGTGAGTAGAGCCGGATTCCGGCCCCAAAGGACGGGGTTTCCACGAGATGAATGTCTGAGTGAAAATTCTTGAAAATTCTTCCTGATCCCATGGACTTGGAGAGCAAAATCAACAGGAGGAGGTTGGATGGGAACACTGACAATGAAAAGGCCTTAGAGAGGAAGATCCACTCACCAATTGATTCCTCGCCTTTGTTATCTGCGATCTGGCTTTGACTTATCCATGACACGTCGGCGGCTAATCAAATTCGCAGTTCACGATAATCGCGCCAAAAAAA